TACATCAAGCAAATTGGGAGGGCAGAGAACTGAAAGTGAGAATGTGGGAGCTGGTAGAAGTGCCTTTAAAAAAAATGGCACAAAGTTATGTTAGAAGAGTCAGTTATCTACACAATGTGGTTGGGTTTACCAGCTATACTGTGAATCACTGTTAACATCAGAACACCTTAAATTCACTACAGGTTTATTCTAGTAAGACAAATGGTTTCATTCCTGATTATAATGTTGAAAGCAAGAGTGTATAGACAAAGACAACACAAAGCCATAACTGCTGCCTGGGCTCTTTGAAGGATATTACACTGTCATCCTGAATTGCTAGTTCTTAGATTTCAATGATAGTTTAAAAACTTACAAAGTTAGTCCTAGCCACAGGGACAACCACCTGAAAAAAACCAAAAAAATCCAAAAACCAACAAAACAAAAACCAACAAAAAAACCCCAAATCAAACCTGCCCCCCGCAAAACCCTATAAGGAATGTTTATAAAAACACTGTTTCATACCATCTAATTTTCCTCCAATGTACATTTGATACCCTCACCTAAATAATTCCATTGTCATGAAATTCAATTTTAAGACTCAAAAATTTATTTATATTTTTTCAGTTCATTAGAATCTGTTAGTGTGCAACTGAAACTAATTCATTTGAAGTGCTGCCTTAAAAGAATTGATACTCAGCATCCTTTTTGTAAAACCTCCAAGTTTCTTCACAAAAGAAAAATATTCTTCCTAGTCCTTTTTTGCACTTTGGATTGCAAAATATAAACTTCAGAGATATGAAATGACTTTGGGGGGAAGGCAGGATATTAGTTTATTCCAAAACACAGATTTCCATATACAAAATATGAAAACAACTTCAAATGTAAGATCAAGATTTTCAGGCTCCTTATTTGCAGGGTTTTTCAGATAACAACTTTGCAGAGAAATTCCTCAACATTTCCGTGCACTCAAGGATGGCAAAATGAAAATTGACATGTAATTCAAAAATGCATTTGGCAAAAATGCAAGAGATAATTTAAATTTTCATTTTATACATTCAAGGCTGTATAATGAGCCATATACAGCTTCCCTTTTTGTATTATGCAGTATATGGACTAGGAGATTATTTAGAATAATATTAATTTTCATGTTATATTAATACCCACTGATTTATGGCTAAATATTTTTTATGTCTTCCAATATTCCTGGTGTGATTCCATGTTGCCTTCAAAGTAAGCAACAAAATGGAGAACGATTAAGGTACTGTGCACCTACACATACAGCTGGGAACAGCTACTGGAACATTTTAATATCTCTGTGTATTGGGGTATCAGTGGCCTTTTTAATTAGAAAAATTTTAAAAACCCTTTTGCACTTACCAATTACAGCCTAATTCTAAGCGGACCCTGGAATAAATTATTCACACCTTTATCATGATGATGTGATGTTCTGCACTTCTTTGCTTCTGAAGCAGTCACTTCATTACTTTCTGTGCTCTTCTGTTTTTTAGCAATAAAAAACTTGTTATTTTAAACTGTGCTGCACTTATGTTTGTTATGGATTCTACTCTTCTGCTGTTTTACTTCTGATTGGCTATGTTGAACAATTGAGGTTCTTTTCAATAACTACAATAAGCCTTACAACAATTATTGCTACTTTCACTGATGCTGAAAAATTATTTTTCCACTTATTTGGGAAATTGCAAAGCTCTTTCTACTTAGGGAGTGTATCGTGATTTACTGAAGAAATTACTACTGCCATCAGTGCCAAAATTATGATCTCTATTAAGAATGTAGTTCAGCCAATGAAAAATGCTATGGTAGTTAGACTCAATCTGCCTGGTCTGTACTGAGATAGATATTAGGTACTGTATTCTATATATAACAAGCATGATTTATAATGAATACATAAGTTATAATAAATATATGTGATAAAATGATCTTTATTTCTGGGAGCTTGGATACACAGGCTAATCTTAGCAGTAATTCTTCAAGGTATATTTCAACTCTACTGAAGATACATACCATACTTTTTTTTTGTGAGGGTTAAAATTCTCTTCATATGAAATAAAGAAAGAAATAGAGCATTCTGCAATTTAAAAAGTTCTGCACAAATGTAAAATTATTTTTTGGATGGATATAATTCCTCAGAGCTATCTAGGGAGAAATGAAGCTTCATCAAATGCAGGTTTGACTCAGCAGTTCAGAAGCCCCCCCATGTCAGAGTCCTCTGCCATCCCCAGAGGAGAAGGTGAAGTTTGCAACAAGCCCTGCTGTAAAACTGTCTGGAAACCTCCAAGACCTGTCTGAAAAGCCTGTGCTTCGCAACTCTGTTATGAACACAGTAGGTACTAGTATTCAGCAATAAAATACCCTTATGTCTCTTTATGTCAAGTATTTCATTTTTCCAGAGCTATTAAAAGCACTTCACAAAAGATAGCTTTTTTCCTTTTTGTGAATTGATCTTCACCTGGGTTACAAGTAGAAGAAACAGCAGAAGTTAATTATGCAGTGACATATCTGTGATTTTACTTCAAGGGAGTCTTGGAAAAACTAAAAAAAACCAAAAAAACAAAGTAATGTTTTTGCTTTGTAAGCTTTGTCAATAGGTTTTGTTAAAAGACCTGATTTCTGCAGGCTGAATCCTACAATGCAAACAGGGCTTTATTGAACAGTGAATCCCTTAGTGTAGTTCTGCAGAGGTTTGATGGACTGGCATCAAGGCTTCTGCTTCTGCCTGTAGAAGACCAAAATGGTAGGTGGTCTTTTAATCCAAGAAAGAGTCTTGGGAACACCACCTGGCACTACATTTCTCTCTTTCTTTCAGGAGTTCCCTTTCCTCATCTTTTTTGTCTCCTTACTCCATAACAAGAGGGTTTTGATAATAGAGAACTCTTTCTCAAATATATCCCCAATTATTAACAACCTTCTCCTACTACCTCACTTTCTGGAGTTGCATTCTGAAGTCTTACATGCAAAACACCTCTATCACCACCCTGGGAATGTCCTGAATTCATACTCTAGGCATGTTCTTGAAATAGTATGTTTTTTCTGCTTAAAATGGCCTTTCTGGAGGTCAGAACTGTTCAAGAGACAACATTCCCACAGTGCTTCATAAAGTGCATATCATAAATCACAGTCATTGCATGCATACCTCACCCAATGCAGACCCGGTGCATCAGAAACGCAGATGACTGAGCACTTTGTCAAAACTGCCTTTCCTCTCTTGTTATCTTTTCAAGAAGTTCATGGTATTACAGAGACCATACCTGAGACTGTGAGATTTAGGAATTTTTTTCACACAGAGCACGTGAAGTTCTGTGGGGCTTGGTGGAATAACCATTCTTCTGTTTACATCGTTTTTTATATCTTTTGGAAGAATAGATGCTTTTCTGCCACATGTAAGGAATTTATATTAGTTATGCTTTCTTCTCAGAGCTGAGATACTCTTCCCTCAAGAGGATTTCCTTTGAGTAATTGCTTAACTGGTCGCCACTGAGTTGTAATTACTCCAGATGAAACCAATTGTCATCATTCCTTACAGTGCAAACTTCACTCCAAATAGCATTCCCATTAGTCATATCTCCAGCACAACCTGCACATTTTTCCTGCTGAAAACAGATATTGATTTGACACCGTGCTGAGATGATATGATGTATAACTGATTGTACATTTCTGTATAGTATTAGATTAGACTAATGCACCCAGGTTTTCAATCTAATTACGTCTGCTCATCTGATGGAGAGAGTTGTACCCTGTGCAATTGCCTTGGCAATTGCCAATATCACTTTATGATAATCTACTTAGAGTAAAAGAATCCTAGTGAAACAGGAATAAGCTGGGTTTCTTCCAGAGCTTTTCTAATGTCGCTTGCATTTTAAAGGAACATTAGGTTTTTCTCAATTGGTAAATAAACATTTGAATCTTACTCATGAAAAATCACAGGAGAAAGTAGTCAACATTTTCATGGTCTTTGCAAGAGTCTATCACATTGGCCATCTATCACTGCTCCATAAATCCACCCTGGTATGATTTGGTCTTGGCAATTTATGATGATAAATACTTGAATTGTGCAGCTGGCCCTGGATCTGGACTCAAGATTTCTCCCACTGTAGGATTAACTAATATATCTTTTTTTTTCTGTGAACAGTACCTGCTTGATAAGGCATACAGTCACAGACAGTCATCTTAAGTTTGGCAGGAAAACTAGGTGGTAAACATTCATTAATATCCAGCTGGACAAAGAGAGGAACAAAACCAAAATGAGCAGGGGATAGAAAGTACAAACGGTCTTAGACCATGAGTAGCTCCATTTTTTAGAAGCAAGGAATTACTAAAATACCACAGAATTTTTTTTCATGTTGTTTATTATCCATTACTTCTCATGAAAATCTACATCCTATCACTTTGCTGTCCAAGTTCTTGGCAAAAGTACAACAGTATAACCTGAAGCATGTCAGGAAAACAATCTCACTTGAGAGTCTTTCAGGTTGGTGAATGATCAGGATGTGAAACGAATGCTCAGCTTCTGTGAAGCAATAACCAAGAAGCTAAACAGCACCTTAGCATTGATACACAAACCATAAAAAAAGGAACAATTCCCCTACTTGGACTCTTTTTTGAGTTCCCCTGCTTGGACTCTTTTACAAAATCTGTGTGACACTGAATTGACTGTAAAATAGATGAGGTTAGTTTTGTCCTTGTGAAAATGAACAAAAGTAGCAAATTGTCAGGGTGAAGATGGTGGTCAGCCAATAGCCTGGAAAGCGCTCACCAGTGAAACGGTTTGATTAGTTAAAGTGGTGGATAATGTTCTTAAACCTGCCTCACACACATAAAGGTGTCAGATATTCTACGGACTGAACAAAAAAACAGTTTCAGGGAGAACCATAGAAGTCCAAACATGGAATCTTGATGCCTGTCCTTGGTTTCAGTAACATGCTAATATCACAACAACAGACACCTGGATAAATATAATCAGTTAGGGAAGAGTCCACATATTCTTATCGAAGGCTATACCTTACCTTGCAGGCTTGATGGAGTTATTTGAAGTCAGGAAGGAGTTGAACAGAGTGAACTGGCTGGTGTGCTGTATCTGTCCTTCTAAAGCAGCTTCAGTAGACTTCCTCACATTTAATTTCCTGAGCATTTCTAGTAAACATTAAAAAATAAGAGAAGAGGAGTCAACAAATGTGATGGTGGGCAGAAACCAGAGGGATGTGTGCAGGAGCCTGTTCTGGTTACAACACTGATAAATGAACTTTCTGTGAAGGACTGAGCAGCTTACAAGACTGAGTGCCTGTGTAGATCACAGCAGTTGATAGCTTTCAGTATAGATAAACATAAAGGGATGAGCCCTGGACAAAAGTACTTCTAATATCACATCTTAAATGATGGGCTCTGAGCCCAGTGTTAATATTCAGAAGCACAATTGTTCCATGAATACATCAGTGTATTGTTCAGTAGCACTCAGGGATAAATAAAAGTTAAAACTGCAGGCATTAGTAAGAAAAATTGAGAGTGCAATAGGCAATGTTACTGTAACACTGTATGGATCCGTGGCTTACCTACAATTTGAAAAAGATGCAGTTTACATCTGCCTGTGCCAGAAAATTTATATTAGAATTAGAAGAGGTGCCAAGAAAAGCTTGAAGGATAATCTGAAATGGAAAATACCTTCTATAAAAAAAAGCAATTGAGCAGGCTATGACTTCTGAGTTGGGGAAAATTATCCAGAAAAATTATGATTGGTATGAGATTGGTAATTAGAAAGCAACTGTGAGCAGTGTTGTCTACCACAAGAATTGCAAATGGAGTTGGTGGGAGCCAGATTCAGAACAAACAACAAAGGAAATGGTTCATTGTGTATCACATACCTGACAAATTGAAACAGTTGCCAAAGGATGTTGCACAATTATGGAGCATTTATATGATCTCCTTTAGTCCAGCGAGTACTTGGTAGGTGAGAATGTGATCTTGGCTTAGGACAGTCATACGAATCTATACATCCAGACCTGCTCTTTGGTGATTACAGATTTGGTGCATTGATTAGGACCTGTAAAAACTAAACACAAAGCCATAGCAAAATGACTGCTGAGGAAGAAATGACACTGCAGATAAATCATATACAGCACATTATTTTTCTTTAATGCCATGAGTGTTTTCTGAAGAGGCAGGAGTCCTGTTGTCACACGTGTAACTAAGACTATCAGCAACAGGGGGTTGTGTATCAGGCCAGGAACCTGCAGGCTGGAAGCAAGTGAATCATTGATGTTGTGTTCCAGGTGGTTTTAAGTGGTAGAATAAGAAGTTCAGGGCCCTGGAGAGTTGGTACAACCAATTGCCTGCTGTGCATTGTAAATCAGGAAAAGCAGCTTGCAATTAATGAAGAGTGTTGCAGGTCTTGTCAATATACTCTGTTTTACTGATTGTCAGAAAGGTCCAAAACCTCTGGTCAAATTGTCAGTGAATGTAAATCTCAGTCAATTAAAATTAGAGTTCTAAACCTTCAGAATCAGGTAAAAAAATAAATCCTATGAAAAGGGAGAAAGCAATCATAACACCTGCTTGAAAGGAACAATTCCTGCTCTTCCTCTCCTGACTACATATTCAGCTTCACAGAAAGAAAAGCTCCATCCAGTGAAAGAGTCATTGGCTACATAGTAATCTGCTCTACTGTCTTGCACCCATCATTTTTACAAAAAATAAAAATAAAAATAAAAATAAAGCATTAATATTTTACCTTTACGTCATCACATCCAAAAATTGGAACCTCATCTAAAACCCCTTGAAGTCAGTGGAGGCTGTCATTGACTTTGGCTGGCACTGGGACAGATTCTGAGAATGTAAATTGCCAATTGAATGTAATCTTTTCTATTGCTATACAACAAGTGTCACAAATTCACAAAATTTACCACTGAGTTTTGGTTGGGGTTTTCATTGTGTTTCTTTGACTGACATTTTTTCCATCGTATCTCAAAGAAAATCCACAAGTGTTGTTCTTTGCAAAGACTACATTAAACATGCCATGTTGGTGGGAAAGAAGACAACCCTCCAGAAAACCACTTAGAACTGAGCAATTCTTGCCCAATTTTTCCTAATCACAGATTGAGAACCTTGAATTGGTTCTGAGAACTCAGAACCCACAACATCCCATCTACTCACTGAGATATTTTTCATAAACATTATTGGTCATGTGGAGAATCAAATCTCTCAAACAGGATGGTCAGTTGCTGTCTGTGTAGGAGCCTCCATTGCAGGAGCAAGAGCATTGCAAGAGCAGCTTCTACAGGATCAAGATGGGATACCACAATCTGCTCTGATGATTTCTTACAGTCCAGCTGGTCTGTAGTCCTACATGATGACTACAGTACATCAGTGATCCGTTGATATTTATTATCATAAAACTATGCACAGAGCTTCTAGCTTTCTTACTATGTACAGTGTCCTATCTATAACCTCAGAACTAGAGAATTATTTAGGTTGGAAGGGACCTATGAAGATCATCTAACCCAACCTCCTGCTGCTTCTGACCCTGCCCTTAATTAGTTTGGGCTGCTTAGGTAGTTAAATCTTGCTGACTAGTTATGTCTAGAACATTTCCAAAGACATTTCTACACCTGCATTTTGCAGAATATTTGAATTTATCCATGTGGCATTTGGCCAGTTGCCTCACCAGTCAATGGAACTCACAGTGTCATTGGGACTGCCCAGGATTCCTCCACCCGGAGGGACTTCACCAGCACATTGAAGCACACAAATAGTGCCTAAGCAGTCTAGGCACAACAGGCAATTGTCTGAAATTTCCACCTAGACAGTTGCTAGTCCATCATGAAACCACACAGGGTTTACTGCCTTATTGTCTCAAGCCAGTCCATCACCACATCTACTCAGACATCACCAGGATACTTAATGGATTAACTCACATAATTATGGGGTAAGAGAAATTTTTCCCACTTCAGCACTTCCATGCATTCAGCCATGTGATACTGTCACATTTGTGAAGCATGATTCTATTTATATGTTCAAGTAGCTGTCATAGCAGCCTCAGCATCAAATAGCTGCTCTGCTGGAGTGAGCAGACACTTGTTAATGGGAAATGTTACAGAGCTCCTGTGGACACACCTCATGCTAAGCAGTATTGTTGCTTACTGTAGGAGCAAATTTAGAACAATTTTGCATCTCTAAAAAATTGTCGCTACGTAAATGGGTGTTTTTTAGCTGAGGGTGGTGCCAGCATGGAATTACCTGAATATGTGTATTTCAGCAATTCATCTTAGAGAAATCATTAGGAATGGATGGCCATCTCAGACATACAACTACCTCACAGTTTTCATCCTGGGTTAAACTAACTAACTTACAAATAAAACAGTCATGACAGAGCACTAGCTCATCTTTGGATTTTCCCTGAGACATACTGGTGATTACTTCATCAACAAAGGAAATTGAAAGTGAGACTAAAATGGGAAACAAAACCACATAAACTAATCTAGAATGGATGTGTGTTCCATAGTTCAAATTGCATGGAATTCTAATATACTAACACAATACTTCCTGATACTCCTAAGACCCCATGATTTCCTCCACCAGCTTTCTGAGCAGTATACAGGGCTATGTGCTGTGCTTAAGCATTCCTCTAACACACTTCAGAGGAGGGGCCTTTTTTTTTCAATTTCATTGGTTTTTTCTTTATTTCTTTCTGTAACTTGAAGACTTTTAAATATATATGTATATATAATTTCATTCTAGCCATGGGTATTTTATTGAAAAATACTGCCTTCTGCCATCTTATAATTGACCATGATTTGGAACAGAGCTGTGTTTACAATTCTTATTGTTTTGAATGGGAAAAGTTTACCATCTTAAGGCAAGAGATACCATCAGGCATGACTTTGGTTTAGAGGGCCAGATCTCCAGTAAAACAAATAAAACATAATTAAATAATTAATAATTAATAAATTACTAATGATTAATTAATTATTAAGTATATTAATTTATCTAAATTTTTTAGAACTAAACCCCCGTGATTATATTATAATACTATATATTATATATTATTAAATTTATTATCATATTATAATATATTATTATATATTATTATATAATATTAATAATGTTATTATTAATAATATTATTATTAATAATATTATTATTATGGGATTATGAACTTTTAGCCAAAAACATTAACAAATTTTAGACCAAATCTCTGAACTCACAGGTTCATTTGCAATAGAATTTCCATTCTTCCCTTGAGGGAAGGGCTTCTGCAGCTGCCCAGGCAGGGCACTGGTCAGTGAGATGAGGGCAGAGCATGGCAGCAATCCCAGTGGAAAAGCACCACTGATATCTTAGCTACATATGCCATTTTTTTATGGTATTGGAGTACACAGAACACCAAGGCATATTCTGTACACACATACGTGCCTCAGAGCTGCTCTCTTCTCCTTACAGATCTTGTCATCCACTCTCCTTCTCTGTGAACACACTCTCCAGTAGAGAATGTGTTATTTGTAGCACTGCCAAGTTTAATCCATCCGCAGAGGCACCTGGAAAAACAATTTATTTACACACTAAAGTACATGTGGAGTTTGAACACTCTACATCTTAGCACTCCTACTTCAGCTGAGAGAAGCGACATCAGCAAATATAGGTCAAGAAGAGGAAATGTATTCAGTTAGTCAAAGTATCAGAAGAGCCCAGTCAAGCAGATTTGAGTCTTTGGGTAGCCATGAACCCACATCCTGATTTCATCTGGAGTTCCTTGCTGAGAGTGAAGCTCTAGCTGAAGGTGCCATGGGAGTCTTGGCACTGAGGATGTGCCAAGCGGTGATCTATACTACTAGGATTTACTTGCCAAAGGGTCAGTGCTCCAGGATGCCAAATTGCCATTTGAGAAGTGATTAATTGCAGATAGATCACCATTCATCAAGATGGAGTGGAGACTTTGGGACAAATTGAGATGTTATAAAACATTATTCACTGATTATACCCCATGAGATTCTACCTCCAACAAAGGATTGCCATGCTGGCCAGCGCAGCGCAGATGATACCAGATTTTCCCTGTCTATTTCAGGGTCCTTTTAACTTTTTGGTCTTTCTTCACAAACTGACCTTATGCAAGCCTTGGGACACCTTCATGGTCGTATTCCTGCATATCACTGGCTCATGGTCTGTACCGGCTCACCAAATCAAAGTGGCCCATTGCTACCTTTCAAGGAAAACAAAGAAATGGTTCTAAAAGCAGTCTACGGATGGAGGGGTAATTTCCTGCTGCAACTCATTGAGCAGCTCCCACCCATAACAAGCTGTCATTACAAGAGCACATTTTAGCACCCCTGAGTGAGAGAGCAGCATCTCATGGTGACACAGATAAGATATCAACAGGGGCTCTAAGGAAAGAGATCACTCTGTACTCATTAATGCCGGGAGATCATCTACTCGTGTTGCAACATGACTTTGTATCCTGGCTGGAGTCCAGGCTTTGTTACAATTAGCATAATAGTTTCAATTATGTGAGCCTGTAGCTAGCTTTTAGCTAATATCTGTAATTTACCTTGGGAAGAAGTTTGATTTTGTCTGTCTTGTTCCTGATGTAACTTGAGAGTGAATTTTATGCAGAATATTTCTTTGGCTAACATGCTGTCTATTTCTAGAAGCTCCGGAATCAAGATCCTATTTCACATCTCAGGAAATCTGGGATGGGCTTCCCTGTGTGCACAGCTTGGGTGCTGGTTGTTTGAAGATGCTCAAAACATCCAGAAAAAGCCTTAAGTTTATATCTCCAAGATAAGTTTCAGAGAGGACTCAGCATAGAAGAGTCATGCCAAGCCTTTCAGTGTGCATACCCTGTTTGGGAAAAAGGAGAGCCCCACCAGACAAACCACTGGGAGAACTGGGAGAAAGGTGTCATATTAAAGTATTGGCTGGTGACTCAGACTTGAGAAAACCTCTCTGATTGTAAACTTAAGGGACATGATCTGGGAAAATTTAATATTTTTGCATGTTTTTACAGGGGGGGAGTTTAGCAACAATGACTTATGATGCTGACTGTTGCACTGTAAGAATAAATTCACAGGTAGTTGTGAGGCATTTAAACACTGCAGTGGGAAAAGGCCATGGATGTGCCTGGCCAAAACTGTCAGGTATTTGCTTTATGTTGGTATATTAACCTCCCCTCAGTAGACTAGAGGCCTAAAGATAAATTCATTCTCTCTCCTTAAAATAGCCTAGACACAGCTAAAGCAACTGAGGAACAAAAGGCTAAACAACTGTTGGAAAGCTGAGAGCTGTTTAAGCTTAAAAGGAAATGGTTATGAAGGATTAGAAGGAAATGTAGATGCGCTCCTGGGCCTTCGGTTTAGCACAGCATAGCCATGACCAGCTCTTGTGATGACCCTGAGAGATTAGTAGGAGAGCAGAAGGTCTAGGATTTGTGTTCTTACATCAAGTAAGTCAAAGAACATTCCATTAACTCATGGCAGTGTGGGAAAATGGAAGAGCTAATACTGATTGACTGCTTTTTTAAAGTGAGGTATGAAATGAAACACTTATCACCAGAACAATCTCTGAGACATGAGATCAGAGAAAAGAAGAGCTGTCCCAGCTAAACAGTATTCCTAGGAGTTTATATGTTGATAATCCACATAACTCTTTTCACAGAGCTATGATCTGATATTTAATTTTTCCACCACATTGTGTTTTTGGCAGGATGTTTTTACTATCTCACATAAGAACCGAATTGTTTTGCAGCTTTAGGATGACAAACTCAAACTCTTCTTCAGGGTAACACTAAAAATGAAGAAATAGAAAAAGACTTCAATGATGCACAGCTCTTATGTGTTGTTTTGTTACAAGACATGTATCACCAACTTCCCACACATATTTTATGCAGGCGATCTATGGGATGCTCAGCTTGGTGCTCCACAGTATGCCACCAGCATCAAACAAATGACAAGAAATTGGCAGCATGCTGTAGTTTTACTTTCTCCAGCTGAATGGAAAACACTGTTCAGTATAGATCTAATACCCTTCCCTCTTCACCCACTCCTGCTATGCCTCCACGCCTTCAGGTTTCCAAAGCAGGTCTCAAGTTGAAGAAAAACTCAGTCCTTCATAGGTTGAGTGTAAGGTTTGCCAATGTACGGCAAAAACTTACCCACTCCTCCAGTGCCACTTGGAAGACATACAGATCCTCCCTCCCCAACAACACTCCAGAGAACAATTTTTTTGTTGTTGTTCATAAAGGGGAAAGCTGGAAAAGAAAATACTTAATTAGGAATTTAAAGAAGAATTAGAGTGGGTGGGACATTATCACTCCATCTGTGTTTGTGTTACAATTTCATCTGGAAACTAAGCAGTCCATTGCACATGCCACTATAAATGACAGCCTGTGCCCCAGGCTGTTCACCCCACAGACAATTAGTAATTTTAGCAGTGCTCTCAAGTGGCCAACTCTGAGTCATACCTAGTACTTCTAGTGTGTACATACACCTTAAATGTTCCACGAACTGCTAACAAGGCAATGTGGCTCTGAAAGGCCTTGAATTGTGTATCTTTCTTGCTTTAGATGGACACTAATACAACGTGGGAAGTGTGTTGCCAGTGCTGTATTCTCCTATCCCTCCATCACCAGGGTTAGCCCTCCCTGCACACAAGCTGAGGGCACCTGGCTGAAAAACTGGCCCAGCAGCCCCCTGCATCCCCTTAGAGCCAAGGGCAATGGCAAAAAGTCTCATTGCACCTAAGGAGCTGCAAGGAATTCGAAAGACAAAAGTCTGTCATACTGCTTTTAACAGCCCTCAGCTGAACTGGTTTCCTTGTGGATCAAGCTTACAAATACACAGCATGACTGGAGATGACAGCAAAGATACAGCATCAGTGCTTACTTGTGTCATTTGCTGGACTGTACCTATGCAGCCACAGAGAATAGCCCTTGGTACACTCCAAGAGGAAAAAGTATCTTGTCCACAGGATTTACTTGACAAAGCAAGCCATTCTCAAGGGCAGCATTAATATTTCTTCCAGGTCTTCCAAGATGACTCTGCCTGCTCTTGAGCTGGGCCTGGCACTGGCCTCTGGGTGCTGTGGATGCTCATCTCTGTATCTGTGGTTTCAAGGTAGAATCGATAAAGCAATTTCCTTCCCCACAGAAATTTTTCTCCTCCAAAGCAAGGTATGATTACTAGGTTTCCAACCAGGGTGAATTTTAGCTGCCTAAAAGAAATCACAGAATCACAGAATGGTTAGGGCTGGAAGGCTGTTTGACCTAGAGAAGAGAAGGCTCAGGAGAGGAGCAAAGAGTATCTCATTAATGTGTACAAATATTTGAAGGGAGAATGAATAAAAAGAGGGAGACAGGTTTTTTCAGTGGTGCCCAATGACAGGACAGGAGGTGACAGGCACAGACAAAAACACAGGAGGTTCCATCAAGACATACGGAATCACTTTTTTCTGTTTTTACATCACTGAGAGTGATGAAGCACTGCAACGTCTTGTCCTGGGAGGTTATGGATTCTCCATCCTTGGAACAATCCAGGAGTTGTTTGGACAACGTCCTGGTCAAACAGTTCTAGGTAGCTCTGCCTGAGGTCCCTGGATAAAACACATACATACACTGCTTTCCCTCACAACAGATTACTGGCAGAAGTAATTACGGCATGTAATTTCCGTCAGAGCTAACCAGAAAAAGAAGTGCAATTAAGACTTCAAAAGGTAAAATCTAACCCTTACAGCCAAAGCCTACTCAAAACAATCTTGGTTGCTACAGTACCTAAAACACGTGAAAGGAGAAGCTTGAGGAAGGACAGATGTGATGCCTGGATCTTAAGGCAGATGCAGGGTGGCAAATCTTATCCCTACCAGATGGCCCTATGATTACACAACCTTTCAGCACACTGATGGAGTTTGAGATTTTCTGTCTTGCAAAAAGCAGCTTCAGATGAGTTTCAGCAGACTAAATATGTACCACTGACTTTTATTCAGTTTTAATAGACTTTTGCAATATACTTTTAAAAACATACTTCTGCTTTATGACTGCTACTTTCTGATACTCTCCTCCTTAATCTCTTTTCTCATAGATGTTTAATTGTGTAGAAGAATCACTGTGATGCACTTTCATATGATTTCCCTATTTGGTAATAATACCCTCAATTAACTACTGTTCTCATTAACCAATTTACTCATTTATAATCAAGGGCAATGGCTTTAACAGTTCTAATAATATGCCTTGTTAATAATATCTTAATGAGGATTACCCTTATACTGCTCTTAGAAGCTTCCCTTTTTCTTTAAAATGAGAAAAGGCATATTAATGAAAAATAACCTTCTATCTCCTGGCTAAGAATTTTGTTGGAATGAAAAGAAGACATGGAAAAGTACCATAGATTTTTTTTTTTACCTCCATAGGCTGCCATTTAGAAAACCAGTGAATTACAGTTGGTGGAGTACATGATGCACCAGTCCATAAATCAGTTCTGGCCTCAGCCCTCTTTCTTACTTGCTATAATTAGACACCAAGAGGTTCCTTTTATATCCTCAGTTGAATCAGGATGTAGGCATTCTTATCAGCTTCACTGGACGTAGCAAAGAGAATACTGTTAATTAACTCAGGGAAAGAAGTGAAATCGAAATAAAATATCTAGTCAAGCTTTTAAAAAATTAAACTGAAATATCAAATCTAAGGGAATCTTCTCTCATAGAACTAAGGAAACACAATAAAACTGCAATGACTGAATATATGTTCTGCTAGCACTAGCGTTGAAAATTTAATGTTTGGAATTGACAAACAATGAGACAGGTTTGCCAATGAGCAGCAAAAGTAATCTGGAATGGCCATGTTAAAAATAGCAGCTCACACATTTACAGATAAAGTACAGAAGTTGCATAAGAAAGCTTGCTTTTAAAATAAAGGGGTCCAGAAGCATAAGTCAATGCATGATCAGGCAACCTTGGAAGTTAAGTGCTGGAGGAAGAAGCACTTGGTGAAAAGCAGCTCTATAATGCATCCGAACTGATGGAGAACTGACTGCATCTTTCAAAATACAATTTCAAAAATTCATCTTCTACAGTTTTGCCAAAACAGAACACCCACAGGCTGGGCTAACAGTCTCTGAGGAACAGAGTCACAATCAGCTGTACAATGCACACTTGCTATGCTGCGTTCTGTACACAGAAAGGCCCACCAACCTCTGGTGACCATGATATTTTAAGTCAAAATTACAAACCCCTTTAGCCCTCCATCTTCCAGCATGTTTCCCAGACATCTCTGTATTCCCCATTCCATCACTGTTAGGGTTTGAATCTTGCATCCAGTGATCAATTAGCATTTTAAGGCAGACTTAGGTGAGGAAAATAATTGAATCTCATTAGCTCTAAGTACTGAATTGATATGATAAGCACCTATGCTGATATGGGGAGAAACTGATCTTCAGAAGTCAATATTTGCCAGCATCCGGACATGTTGGCTTGCCATAATCAGCTCTTTTCTTGCCTATATTTTGGTGTTAATGAGTGGAAACTAAAAAGATAAAAAGAGAAAAAGAGCAATGTCCCAGCAATATTTCTGTTCCAGAAAAGCCATTGCAGCTATAGCTATAAGGTGTCCAAATACATTCATTTAGTTTGGGATTTAGAACACAGTAAAAATGTAAATGTCACACTGTTTTTCAGCCTTTTGCAGAGATGTCAGATCAAGGCCTATTCACACCTGATTATATCTTTAATTTATATTTTTGCTCAAGCACAAAAGTTGGAAGTAGCCTCAGCATTAAATTTTAAGAAGAGAATTTTTATGAAGAGAATTCTCTGACACAAAAATTTCATTAGTTTCCATTATTTTTCTTGGAAGGTTCCCATGATAACAAGAAACACACATGGATGAAATCTTGTTTGCACTAAAGGAATCAGGCATTTTCCTACAGACTTCATTGGAGGCAATATTTTACCTAGTATCTTACAAGGAGTAGATTTTACTTTCCCTTGAGGAGTCACAGTTTTTACTGGTAAGCAGGCAGTATCCTTTATACAGCAATTCTGAGGCAGCTCATGCGAGTGATAAGAACTCACTGAACAAATTTTGATGCATTCTGAGACCATATGAGAAGGTAATTAGATAAATTCATAGAATAGAGTTCTCATAAAAACAGGGATGATTTTGTTCCTTTCCTTGGGCTTCAAAACAATGTAAGCCCTCTGATTTGGTACTGAATTTAAGAGTGAGCTCCTTGCCCTTGACTGTGTACGAGCTACTTCTAAATCACTGGCACGCCGGTTCAATTCCATCACTTACTTATTTTTTTAGGCTGGAAGAATTTAAAGCCAAACCTAATTAAGCTTCTGACATTGTGAGATGGCATATAGAAGACTGTTTAAAATACGAGCCTTGTGTGACTTGGTTCTTGATATCAATCCCCTTTTGATTTCTTACATTATCATTACTTTAAAACATGTCTTAAAACTGCAGGTTTGTTTTTTTTTTTTGGCTGGTTTTTGTCATTTTTTACACAGATCTATGCCTTCCTTTGCACGTAAAAACATGCATGCTCCTATGGAATATTTTGTATGCACTTGGCTGGCTCTTGATAACATCTTTTTTCTCCCCAGATGAAAATACCTGGGGTGCAAAGACAGACAACTTCACTTTTCTCTTTATTGTGAAAATCAAGCTGAAGCTATAGGGGAAGAACTGGGGATGGAGCCAATCAGCACCTGGTCTGACATGTGTTAGAGCTTACCTGACTGTTAATGAACAATGATATTTTCCTTCCCGTATTTGCAGGACTGGGTTGACTATGACATAAATAGAGATGAGAGAGGCCACAGAAAAAGACAGATGGAAAGAAGCATGGCCGAAGGACAGGAATAAAAAAATACATGCAAAACATGACAGAGTCATAAACCAGGACACTGGACAAGTAGAAAAACATGGGCTCCTTAGTCCAAACTCTTCCTGTAAACTATTACACAGCTTTAGCTCACCAGCAGACTTGGCTGGCTTTGAAAAATTGAATATTTTTTATATCTGCTAGCTAAAATTTTGGTGCTATTAGGTTTCAGGGTTCTCCGAGTCACTAGGATTTCAGTGCTAATGAACTGCACTCCAACTTCACTTCTTTGAAAGCCTACAGTTCAGCCCAAATTACTCACTGATATATAGTGGTAGCTGTTCATTTACTTAGAGAGTGAGAAAAGGCATATGAATGCGAAATAACCTTCTACCACTACCTCCTGTCCAAGTGTTTTGTTGGAATGAAAAAACAATATACTTAGATTTTCCAATTGATTATGCCCTGAATGCTAAATCACACTGAAGTGATGTGATAGACTGAACTTTGTTTACATGAACTGGTTGAGCCTTGCGATAAATTTCTCCCTGATAACCCAGGACTGATACCTTAAAGCGTTTTCCTGACAGATAAGGGAAAAGGCAAGTAAGCAGCAGATCTTTTGGAGGTGGGGTAATGCTTTTTATCAGGTCGATTTCCTCCCTCCCAGAAAGGCACAACTGCATCTGACAGTGTAAAACTCCCCACCATGGGAGGTACTGGGTGCTCACATGGAAGCCAGAAGGTTTTCTCCCTCACACTAAGGTACTAATGGCAAAAGGAAGAGCAGAGCCAAGCAGCAGTTGTCTCATTAGGAGGGGTTAAAGACCCCCAAAGTGCCCCCCAACTCATTTCCACAGTGTTGCTTCAAACAGAGTAAATCCTTCTGTAGGTAACAACTAATAAATAAAAATCTATAGGACCGGCAGGAGAGGCCAGAAGTGTCAAAAGTTTTCATATTGCCATTTAAAATCCTTAGCCGAAAAATTAAGAAATGGCCATGTTCTGTTCAAAGCATATGAACAGCATATAAATGAGGAAGATATTTGTTTACACAATCCAGACTCCTTTGATCCAAGAATCAGTCAACCAGCTGCCCAGCCTGAAAGATGGATTGCGCTTTCACACACCACAATCAAGGTCTAGACAGATCTCCACCATTTCCTGGTACATAATATTTCAGACTTTTAATCATTGGCTTTTTAGACACAGTTACTTCAACCCATTTAGCATCAGCCTGGACATGCTTTACCTGAATACTTCCACCTACTTGTTCTGAAGGGCTATGGCAGACACAGGAACTTATTCCACCTCTCTTGATTGCTAAAGAAAACCCAGGTCTGTGCTAAACATTTATACTTTCAGCCTCAAGATCCATCCTCATCTGCTGAGGCAGTGTCTCTGTTCTGGCCTGCTGGGCCAGGTATTGCTTCTTGCAGCTTGTTATGGAAAACTGGCAAACCATAACAAAAGCTAAAAGGCCACTCTTCAGAGTTCTCTGGGAAAAAAAAGCTTGAGGAAGACACCTAGCAAATACTACAAAAATTAAAGATTAAAAGAAAGGGATGTCCTGGTGACATACTGTGGCAGCTCAATATCTGTTGGGATCTGGCTCTGTGCTTTTACTTCTGAAAGATAAGTCCAGGACCTCCCTTCATGAGTCAGCAATAACATAAAAGTAATTGAACATCCTGCAAGGAGAGGTCTGTCATGTTCCTGTATTTCACTGCTTCAATAACCTGATGTTATTAAAATTTCTTGCAATCTTCTTGCTATTAGGCAGTGCCTTATTTGATCAGATGATTATGAAAGATGGAGGAGGCTGCTAGCTTATAGAGTTTCCTTCTGATACAGAATTACATGGTAGGCTGATTCAACCTGGTGTGAAAGCAAAAATAAGAATTTCTTTGCCTCCTTTCTCATTTTTCTGTTTTGATTTCCTTATATTTTTTATCCAAGAATGTCATAGACTGGTAATATCCCATGACTCCATTTCACACTTACTTAGCAATGGTATTTATGACTTACCTCTGGTACCAATCTGCTTATGTGAAGGTATGCAATACATCTTGGGATCAGAGAACACCTCCTTTTCCTCTTTTTAGATGATATCTAACTGTATTACCAGTTTTTTCCACAATTATGTAGCTTTTTCCACCTTCACTTATATACTAGACAAATATAAAGATGAATGTCTGCTTTTACGATGTATTCCTTGGAGGGGGAGAGCACGGGAATTTGCTTTGACATGCTCATGCTCATAATTGCCTGGAGTATTCTCAAGACACATCAGTATTATCTTTCCTAATTTCCTTTTAATCCTCTACTCAACTCTCTAAAGAGCTGTTGTTGAGTCTCTCCCTGATATCCTTGGATGTCAGGATGTTCAATGCATATTCCCTAGCAGAAACAAAATCATGCCTAGGCTCAGCCCTAGAATGTGGCATTTTTAGACCAATACATTTGAATGTTAGGAATCTCATGTCTATTTATAGTTATGGTTGTAACGGTTCCCCCATCTGATAACATGGAAATGGTCTGGGCACTACAAGAAGAAAAAGAAATCCCACCATCCTATTAGAATCTCTTTTTACATCACACCAGACATTTTTATTACCTTCTCTACTATGCCAGATGCGTAGGACTATGTGTTTCTTCCTGTTCTCCACAAAATCCCATGAGAACCCAGAGAATGGTCTCAGTGGACAAGCTTCTGTAGCAAAGAATAGTCAACCCATTGGTGGAAAAAAGAGGCTTAAGGAGGCATAACTATGTGACAGAGAGGACAGGCCTTAATTGCTCAACTCTTCTCAGCTTTCTTCAGTGGAATTTCTTTTCCCCTGTCTTTTGTCTGATGATGCAGAATTTGCTTACTATGGCAAACAATTCTGATAACAGCCAGAATCAAGCAATCAATTTAGAAACTTATTTACCAGAAAGATTTCCCCCTCACATTAAAAACAATTAGAGACATTACCATAAATCCTCTGCTGGAAGATGCTACTGCCATGATGGTATCCATCCACTTCAGTCCCATTCATTCCTTGCTGGACGCGGTACTCAGCAGACCCTCTGCCACATCCATGAATAATTTCTCTTCTGACTGGCCATGCCAGAGCCTGGACACACTAGCTGCATCCTGAGCCTGCTGCTAGGTCTGGGAAGTCCTTCCTGGTGCTTGCTCAGTTCTTCATGCTCTATTTCACACTTTCAGAGGAGAGCATTCATTTTACCTAAAGTAAATGGAGCTGCCTGAAAATTAGGTTTGGACTAAATTAATCTACTATATTGATTCTGTAGGCCATGCAGAGAAATAGAAATCTACTGAACACTGATGCTCCCCACCCATCTCAGGATAGAAGGACTGCTTCCCTTGCAGGCTTCAGTAGAACAGAGAAGTGTCATCAACTGAGTGGGCAGCAGTTTTGAAATATTGATGCAGGCTGTGATAGGCAATATTCTACCACTATATTTATAGTTTTTTAGTTTTCTAAGCAAGCAAACAAGAATTATAAATACCATATGTGTAACAGTGATGCACCATGTGTCACAATATAGTGACATTTGCATCATGGGGCATTGTGAGGCAGTGCAGCAGCTACTGTATGGAAAGCTGATATGTATGGCTGAGGTACCACGAATATACATCCATGTTAATCCACATGGCATGGTCATAGCTGATTTTGAGAATGTTATGGTCTAGCTGACTTTGCAGGGCATTTCCTTCCCCTTTCCCAAATGCAGCTGCTTAAACTGTGTCTGGAAAACTGTCACAGGCCCCTCTGTACCAGGGAATAAACTGAGATTATGAGACTAGGAACTACATTTTCCTGTTCTTTATATTATTCCACTAATTCATCTTTTTCCTAGTTCTCCGCTTCTGCACTGCTTTTCTGAGTCTTTATGTTCCTCCCTTCCCCTTATTCCCTTTAGATTATCTGTCCATTTAAAATTCTAACAACACAGTAACCATTTCTCACACTTTTAATGACAGCTCATAATTGCTGACAAGAAAGAGAAGTAAACCATGTGAAAATGTGTATGCATTAAATTGTCATAATGTCATAGACACTGCTGAGATCAGTAATGAGGAGGTTGGGCCTTAGTTAAGACAGCTAGACAGCAAATATATACCAGTAAGAAATGGCAGAATATAAAAAAGAATAAAATACCTATACTGTGGAAGGATAAATTAATATAGTAAGGAATTTACTTTAAGGAAGACAGAAGAAAACAGTTCCCTTTATGTAGCATAGAAAACATGGCAAATAACTTTGGGACAACTGGCAATGAATGACATTTGTGGCACTCCACCATCACTCTGCAGGAGAGGTGGCAACTCCCCAAAGATTCGCTGCCTTCCTTGCTGTAATCACTGCCACTGAGAGCAGCCCATGTTGAGCTGATGCTATGAACACAACCACAAAACTCTTCCACGAGCCGGATTCCTGGGACCATGGGTCATGCAAATAAATAAGCTTGTTGGCTCACCAAAGATAATTTCTTGATTTATTTTTTTGCACTTCTGCTTCTCAGCCCATGCTATTTAACAGAGGCAACAGACCAAACATTTTAGAGGCCTGTCCTTACCAAGAGAAGGAAAAGGTGACAAAGTCTGCTGAGGAGATCCTTCTGAGTGCAGCAAGAAGGGATTTTATGAGAGGGAGTTGGAAATCATGTTTTGTTTATTTCTGTTGCAATTTCTACAGCTTCTGCCTCCCTTGCAACCTTCCAGGAGTGCGCACTTTCAGACAGAAACATCATAAAATCAGCACTGTAGTCCAGCTCATTACTGGGTTTATGGGTGGAATTGCAGTCCATCTCTGCTATAAAATGTGGCTTAAAAAAGGCCAGCTTTGCTAAGGACTTGGCAGTCAGTTCATTAAGACAATACTTTTCTGTATCTGATGCACTTAGGAAGAGGATTTTACACGAAGAAGGTAAAAGCTGAAGCAGTGAAGTTGAGAAGAATTCACCTCTTTACATTTTTATGAGTAAAAAATTCATTGCACTAACAGGAGATTTACATTTAAGCCATGACAGTCAAACCCAAAAAAGTCCCAGTGTGCAACACTGAATATCCAGCAGTTACCCCAAATCATCTGCTGTTGAAAACCTGATCATGTCTCCTGAGGTTTCCTTAAGTGGTTCCAGTAATTGGGGTTGCGTTGGCCAGCTGCCGTTCAAGTCAAGCTCCCCTAATTAGAGAGACCTGCCACTGCTCCCCAGGGAATTGCCTCACCAGTACATCCGTATTCATTTCTGCAGACCCCCTCAGACTTTCTGCTTTCAAGGCTGCCTAGAAAATATGCTTCTCAGAAACACAAAATGATTCCTGCATCAACATAGGTATTGGGATGTATTAACTTTGATTAGGATGAACTGGGGATGGGGGCAGGGGGTAGGCAAGGGGAGATGACAAGAAACTGATAATCTACTTGTGATCTATTCTACAAACGTCAGAGAGAGTGAGATTTTGGGTGGGTTTGTGTTAGAGATTTCTGGTTTTATTAATTTCTAAAGATGGATGAGCTTTCTAAGGGAGAGAGGTGAATGGCCCAGGTGTGTTTTGGAGTTCAGAGGAGAAAAGGAGGTGCCAGATCTCAAATCCAATATATGTATTACACAGTAGAGGAACTATCATGCAAATCTATTTCAGTGATCTGGGTGCATGCAGGAAGGATCCCAGATTTCCACAGTCCCTTTTAAAATAACTTGCACACAGCAGTGAGGCTTGGCAAATGACCTCCTTTCACATGACTACCCAGTCTTGGCTCACTACCATTTATAGTTAGCCTGTAATATAAAAACATATAAAATACTAATCTTAAGCACTGCTTACATTTTCCTTCTTTCTCACATGATTCTGATCTCATCAAATCAAATCAGTGGCTGATTAGTCCCAGGCTTTACTTATGGAACAAAAACATCTGGTCTCATGCAGTATTTCCCTTATTAAATTCTTGTTTGAGGTAGGAAAAGGTAATTTTCTTTCTGGAAACAGAATGAGATGGCCACAGCCATAAGGTTCTGGTGCAGATGGGTTGATAGGACAGCAGAGACAAGAATCTCTTTGCTGAACAAGCTAAGGAATAAATTCTCCTTGTGCTGGGAAGAGAAGTTAATACAAAGTGTTCAGGATGAGGAAATGACTGAATCTCACAACTCCCTCTGTACAGCTGTGCATTTCACCACCTTCCTATCACAGAATCCTCTGGCTGGTGCCTAAGGTAATCAGATAAGTTTCAAAGATGCATTTCTTTGCTCCAGTGTTTTCCATACTTAATGCCTATTCTCAGAAATGTCCCATTAACTTTCTCTTTGCTGTAAAAGTCCCTAGTGACTTGACATTTGGGAATAAGCAGCTTATGTGGCCTAAGATGGCAGTTAATTTTAGCAGTGGCAAGAGTTGAGATGGCAGTCCTCCCCACACAAAAATATGGGTGATAAATATGCTCGTAAATCCAAATGTTAGTAGTTTGAAAAGGCTGAAAACTTCTCCCCCTGTTTCATGGAAAACAGGAAGAGGTGATTTCATTATAAAAAAGAGGAGGCTGCACACATTTGCCATTTGAGTTCACATACCCTGCCAATACCGCCAGTTTTATTAGTGTCCTGGTGAAATATTCAAATCTGGCATATTTTACTTCTTCATGCTCTTTGTCTTCAAATACTGTTGCTATGTCTGGAGAGCACTGCCAGGGCAAAAATAACTTGCTGCACATTTCAGAGCACTGCCTTCAGTGTAGCCTGGATTCTGTCAAGCGAAATTTCACCTGGGTAAGAAAACGAGGAGAAAAAATGACCCCTTGTAATCCTGAGTTCTTACATCACTGGGATCAGTCTTGTGGAAAACTAGTTAAGGGCATTATCCCCACACAGAGCTGGTGGTCTGGAGGAAGCACTCACAGTGAGGCTCTGCCCTTGGGGAGAGCTGTACCCACATACACCCCTCACACCAGAACCAGAGCTGCAGAGGATGAATCATAAGCAGTCCCCATGATGGTCGTGGGGACTTGCAGCATGCACAGCCTTCCTCTAATCCCCATGACAGGACAGGCATATCACACTCTACTAGAGGGTGTTACTGCAAAGAAAGAAAGAGAAGAGGAAGTACTTGAGTTACTCTGTGCTTGAATACCTGCAGGAAATATGTAGGTTATTAAATTTTGCAACAGAAGAAGCATGGTTTCTGCATGTTGAAGTCTTGAGGCTCATTGATGTTGCTTTATAGGATGGTACAAGTTATGGCTGAAAGTCTCCCTGGAGCTGGAACAGCTGTAAGGCCAAGAATTCTGCTCTGTGGGATCCCACTGCACTCACCAGTGGGGTGTTTGCAGCAGGGTTCCTGGTCTTCCTCCTTTATTGTCTTCCCAGACCCTTTTCTTTCTCAAGTGTGGGTGATATCACACATCTGGTTAAAAAATTACTGTGGGGAGAGATCAACAACTGCATATGCCCATAAGCACAAGTTTTATAGGACACCATGTGTCTGCAGCAGCTGTATAATAAATCCAATAGAAAATCTTTATGCTTTAAATAGAGAAGTCTGAAAAAAATAAACCTCCTTACTGAAAGTGACCTTTCTATTTTTCTGAGTCTCTCTGACAAATCTGGCAGCAGGTCACATTTGTATCATTGCTCAGTGCAGCCCTGTCCCCCTTGTCCCTGCACCAGACATGTATTCCCAGAGCTGGCTGAACCAGAGCTGGCTGAGTTCTCCTTAGCAGACTCCAAATTGTGTGCAGCACTCTTTTCTACTCTTATTAGCACAAACCTTGTTTCAGCTCTCCAAGTTCCACAAAATAGAGGTCAGGCCTGGAAAGAAAAATCATCTAGATCTACATTATTGGTGTTGCTATTTATGACGGGAGATCAACAATTGTTTGAGGGGATGCTGAAGATACTTGAGGGTGCTTTGCTTTATCCCATAACAGAGAAATGTGCAAATTTAGGCACGTGGGGAGAAGGTAAGCTAAGTGTATTCTTGTAAAATCTGTAAGAGCTAATTTGCTAGCCCAGGACTGCATTTTCAGAGTGGGCTGCTCTCACTGATCATGTTGGGACATTGGCTGAAACAGGTTAGCTCTCAGCAGTGTTTCACGGTTTGGTGGAAAACAGTAATTCTCAGGGAACCAAGGCAGTTCAGAGCTGGAAGAAGAAAAGTCTGACATCATTCTCTGCACTATTGGAGCAAGATAGGGGGTGTGAGATACTGGTTTTATAAGGAGTTCAGACATAGT